TTCGAGTAGTTTCAGTTCGGTTGTCCAGGCTCGATAGTAGCGAAGCTAGTGTCGAAAGGATCTATGTCGTCGTCCAAAGAAATATCTTTGTTCTGAAGTGGCGTCAACACTTTGTCACCGGGATCTTGCCCATCTAAGGACAGGAAATCTCTCGATTCTTTTGCTTCGTCCGCTCTAGGATCGAAATCGTCGATTTCAGGGACCGTTGACGCGACGATCGGTACGATCGGTACCGTGGGTAGGTTAATGGGACGCGGTGGTGGTTGCTGAGATATTTGCTGCAATTCGCTCTCCAATATCTTCAGTTCCGCTTTACCGGGCAGAATATTAGTCGCGATCGAAGTATCGAAAGGATCCGAATAGGAGATCTCCTCTTCCGCAATTGGTTTGCTCTCGACTCTAGGTGTCAGAGGTTTCGCGTCAACCTCAACTTCCGCATCTAATAAGCTCTCCTGCCTTCGGGGTTCCTGTTTCGCAATCACCTCCTCATCGACCTTTTGTATCAGCGACGATCGTAACTGAGCGAGTTTTAAATTACTCACCACGGCTGAAGTAGCCGTGAAATCACTCTGCCTCCTAATTGGTTCTTCGATGAACCTCGGATCAAAATCGTGATCGCTCAAACTGTGAGGCAATCTAGTCTCTTCTTGTCTCAACAATTCCGATTCGATAAGCTTAAGTTCGGTCTTGCCCGGTGCGACGTTACTAACGAAACTGGTGTCGAATGGATCGACATCTACCTCTTCGTCCTCTATCAATGGCAACGGTTCCTCTATGACTTTTTGAGAGTAATACGGTGTCAGTGGCTTGGAGGGTAGTGTCTTTTCCTCTTCGGTAGTCGCGAGAAGATCAGGTCTCTTCGACGGTGTCGGCAACTCGAACGCGACGGTCTTGGCCGGAGCTAGCTCGAGGACTTCCGGCCGGGAAGCCTTTCTCTCAAGATTCGTCGGTGTCGTTTCGACCCTGTCGTTCTCCTCAAAATTAACGTTGAACACAGGTTTAATCGGCGCGGATTTAACAGGAGCGGATGATCTAGGTGGCGGCGGCTTTGCGGGCAGCTGCTTTATCGACGCCTCATCTTTCCTAGGATCAAAATCGCTATCGTCGTCGATGGAACTAGCGGGTTGCTCACCGAGCAATTCCTTTTCTAAAACCTTGAGTTCTGTTTTGCCAGGTGGAAGCTCATTCACCGCGGACGTGTCGAAGGGATCGACGTAAGTAATTTCTTCAACAGGCGCGATCGGCTCGTCCGCCAACTGGCTAAGATCGGTGATCGAACCACCCAGAAGATCTTTCTTGGATGACTGCAAACTGTCACGATCGTCTCTCTGCTCCAACTCTTTGTCCAACTTCAACAGACCGGTTTCATAATCCCTGTTGAGGCCAGCAGGATCGGTCAATGATATAGACACTTCCGAGACAGGCAGTTGTTCGAGTTCCCTCTCGATGAATTTCAGTTCCGTTTTACCCGGAAGGATGTTGTCCGCGAACGTAGTGTCAAACGGATCAGTCTCGTCGACAAAGGTAGCAGCCTCAAAGCTAGCCTCGATTATCTCCGTCTGAAAATCAATCGTTTGAGGCTCCTTCGCGGCGAATGGATCATCGACTTCCTCGAGACGAGCCGACTCGTTTGCCGCGATGTCTAGATCAAATTCAGCATCATCCAAGTCGGGGATTTCTTCCAAGACAGTTTTCTCCTTCAAAACTTCGAATTCTGAAATGTCTAATGGATCATTTAACGTTTTTTCGGTGACCGTCGAGGTTGCGAGACCCTCCTGAGTTGTGAGAGCTGTTACGGGACTGACCGATCTCGGTAGCACAGACGGTAATTTCGTTAAATCGATCGGAATGTCGGGTAGATCGCTATCGTGATCCAGCAGAGTCTTTTCCACTTGCGTCGATTCCGCTACGACGGCTTGATTCGTCGACGTCGGCTGTTCCGCCTCGTCAAAATCATCCAATAGTAGATCCTGTTGAATTCTAGGTCGCCTTCCCTTGGTGATCTTGCAAGTGCTTACATAGTCGATCCTTCCCGATAACACCTCAACGGCATTGCCTAGACTGACTAGCTTATTACCCTTTTTATCAACCGTACGGAGAACCTTGTCGGCATTAGTGGTGTCAAAAGGATCGTCTCCAGCCTCCTCCTCGGTCGGGCTGTCCGGTATATAAGCTAATTGAACATCGATATTCTGAAGAACGTCAACGTAAGTGGTGTCGAAGATATCCTCGTCGGCGGAATCTTCCTGCTCGTCCTCGTCTTCCGGTACGTCTACGAAACCATCCTCGTTGATCAACGGCTTATCTCCCTTCTTTCGTTCGCCGCCGATCTCCGGCGGTGCGGCCTCGATTGGATTACCCTCCTCGTCGAAGCCCACCCACCTCTTCGAAGACGATTTGTTCGAGTCTTCTCGCTTCGCCGCCTCCTCCGGCCTCTTCTCTTCCAACGGCGCCTTTCGCTGGAAGAACGAGGTAGACTTTATCCGATCGAGGTCATCCTGGGTCTTCTTCAAGACTGAATCGACGCCGGCGGTTAAAGCCTGGAACTTTTCCCACTCGTCGGATCCGGTGCCCTTGGCCGACTCGCCGGCTTCCTCGGCTTTCTGTTGGGCCTCCGCCCGCTCGCGTCGATATCGCTCGAGCTCCTCCGGATCAAATTCCTCCTCCTCCGCGCCCTTCTTGCCCTTCTTCGGCTTTTTCTTCTTCTTCAGGCCCTTGGCTAACTTGTGCATCCTCTAAGACCTACCGTGGTGCGTGGGAGGCTTCTGCAAATGGAAGTCGAAATTAATGCGTCATCGAGTAATGTCATGGGAATCTGTGCGGAATTAATCACCGTCTCCGGTGATAGACGACACACGAATGGAACATTTGGAAGAGTCGCTTTTGAGATTTCTCGAAATAATTAATCCAAATAATTAATCATCAATTATATCTTCTTATACTTTATTACGTTATGCAACTTCGAAATCGAAAAAGAGAGGAAAGCGGTGCGCGATACAAAAATAAAATATTTTTCAGATAAATAATCAATATTTTCTCTTGGTTTGCATCTACGCTACGTGAGTCGCTACGTGCGAACGCTACGTTTGAAAAATCACGGTCATACTACATTATTGTATAGAAATTTGCATCTCGGAATAGAGTAGCGATGTGAGTAACGGGATCATTGGCAAAAAAGACCGATCGATCGCAGTGCAGAAACCGCGAATGTGTCTTTTCCGTCGTTTCCCAACTGTTCGATACGCGAAAATATCGATCGGTTGAAATAAAACGAGATACTCTCTCGAACCGTTTCTTGAAGAGACGCGCTCTACGCGCTCTACGACGCTTCTGCGACATCTAACTTCTTTACAAATAATATCTGCCAAACCTGTCAAAGACGAGTCAGAGAGAGTTAAAGCTTTATATAGACAGCCGATAGATTAGATTCGCTGAAAGAAATGTTACATTTTTTTCGTTGGAATCCCAACGAAATATTTCCATCGAGCAACGTTGGACGGTAGATTCAATAATACGATAGAGATATTCCACGAGAATATTTGAAATGGTATATTATTAATCTACGCCCTAAAGTCAAAGTAACAATTTTACAGACGTTCTCCGATCACTCCTCTCTCGTGTTATAATCCGATGTGTGCTAAGCTGCACACATTGAGAATGCATCATGATCACGTGTTGTATACGCTAACACTTGTAATAAGCTTACGATCATACAACACGTGTGTATTGCATTTTAACGAACTTGAGAGAGAGCGAGAGAGAGAGAGAGAGAGAGAGAG